TCACTCTTAACATACGTTATGCATAACTCGTATATTAATTACCCCAGAATGTGAGAGAACATGGTAGAATATGAATGAGGTCATATATCATATTGTGGTAAGCTGCAATGTCTATTCAATCATTGGATGACAGGGACTTTCTGCAACAGATTAGCTTCTGCAAGCTCATTTAACAGGCTCTCCCAGTGAGCAATGCCTTACAACTGATGCATAAGAGGCTATTTGCATATCTATTAGCATTACTATCCACTCCAGAGTCAAGCATGGATATGCATAAATGACTAAAAGCTATTACTAGAAAAGTGAGAATAAATTTTCGTTTTTTCTACAAATGCTAGGGAGGATCACGTAACTTGTGCACATAACTCAACACTCCTATGTGTTTTTCTATTTTTCCCTTTGTTCATATTTCACTGGCCCGACTAATTTGATAAATTCATTTTAAAACGTCAAACAAAAGAGGAAAGCCTTAACATGGATGAGCATATACACATATCACATACTTTAATTCTACTTCCGGTTTGTTGTGCCTTTCAACTTCTTGACAAGGAAAATTCTGCAACAAATGAAGAAAACAGAGAAATTAAAATGAATAAATGAAAATAAATAATTATTTAATTGAAATTGGCAAAAGCATATATATTTTGACTAATTTTCAATTTTCTACCAAAAATTTTGAGATACAAAAATAATGAAAATTAAATTAATTCACCTGCAGGCACATCGCAGCTTCAAGAGTGTTCCGAATGCAAGTTAAATATAATCGCGATGTGTTCGCCTACAGTTTGAACAACAATGTTCGAAATTACAGATTAATAAAATACAAGTACTTATACATAAATGATTGCACTGAATGCGTGTGAAAATTTTGAAGAAAACTAACCATCAATTGAGCTTGCAAAGAGACGGGTAGGTCTACGATCACTGGCGTGTTAGCAAATAATTTTGCATTAATTAGTCAAACTTTGCCCCTTTTTCTGTCGTGGGGTTTAAGACTTTGAGCAGCTAGAATGCGCTGATCTGGGCAATTCGCGGAAATTTCAATAGAGGTCACCTGATTAACAGATTTGTTTTATTTTGGTCATTCAACTTTTATTTATTTCAATTTGATCATTCGACTTTGGATAGAATCAACTTGATTTCGCAAAGTTGTGTCTTTATCATGAACTTGGATGTGTTGATCATGAGTTGGGCCGAAGTATATCTAAAATACACCTTTGCTTAAGATTGAAATGGAAGATGTTTTAAGACAACGCTAGTGTTGTTTAACAAAATATTTTTAGGGTTTTTGAAATATGATTATAAGTGTTTATATTCAATTTATTTTTTTGTTATTTATCGTTCGATAAAAATTAACATATTCATTTGTAGATGTTTCAAATGAGCTTTTCACTTGTCAATCAACACTAGTACGGTTTTCTCGTTATAACTTACAATCTTGAGTTGTTAACTCTCGAACTATCCAACAATCCAAGGCCCATCAATAATTGTTTGAGGCCGTCTCATCCATCAACTCGTAGGCTCTATATTATGTTTTCTCATCAAAGCTAGCTCCATTTACCGTTGAATCAACCATAGTTCATGGCATTCAACTCAATCAACATCAAAATGTTTGCAACTTTAGATCAATGCTTGTTGAATCTTGCATTCACGAGGCAAGGCACCTGAAATATGAAAAAGATTAATTACAATTACAATTAGAATTAATGATATTAATAAAAGTTAAAACGTGTTATGCAAAGTTTTAAGTGTACAAATCGACGAATAATGAAGTAACGAGAAAATTAAAATCGTCATAGTGATTTTTTTTTCTCTATCACAGCTTCCCCCATTCTCTTAAAAGAGGGAATCCTTTTATCACTGTTCATTTATGTCACACGAGTTTTCACATTTATCCTCTTTTCATCTGATTTTGCTACAGTCACTTCCTAATTCCCTAAATTATGTTTCCTCATTCCCTTTTTATTATTCATTTTTGTCCTATATGTAGCTATCTTCGTTGTCCAGTTGCGGTTGATATTTTATAAATATCTTCTTCATGTATCTTTTGTATTGGAGAAGCAAACCAATAAGAGAGGAACCAAAATCTTTATTTACTCTGAGATTATCTTAAAAGAGGCAACCCACCATTTACTATTCATTTGTGAAGTTTCTTTTTTTTTTTTTTAAATCTCATTTTACCCATATTCATTCTCCACTATTCATCCAAACTTTAAAGGTAATATGAATTTCCTTCTAGTTGACTTTGAATCTCTTCTTACTTCTTGGACAATCCACCGTTTACGGTTCATTTGTTAGGCTTTTTTTCCAGAGGCAATCCATCGTTTACTTGACTAGTGTTTGTAAATTTGGTTAATGTTATTT